AATCATCGAGAAGTGATACGTTCAAATTTGTTGTGATACTATCAATAAATAAATATTTGTTTTTTAATTATTTTTTACATTTATTTCTATTCATTTATTGGTTAAGGATAAAATTATTTATTATCGAGAAGTGATACATTTAAATAAATAAATATTTTATTTTTAATAATTATATATATATATATATATATACATATATGACTTTTGTTATTAATTATATGGATATTATTCATTATTATCTATCATGAAATAATAATTATTTGAATTTGAAGACTACTTGTACCAATACATGAATATTGTTATTACTACTACTACAACTACTTCTTCTTCTACTTGTATTCTGTTTCATCTCATTCTTATTTTCCTTCTCTCTATTTATCTATCTTCTCTCTCCACGCTCCGTATCGGCTAGGTCTAGACTATGTGCGTTATGCACGCTGCACCGACGACGTTACATGCATAATGCATGAGAATACTGCCGGACTGTGCTTCGAATTGGAATTATTTACTGTGGTTAGCCCACAGTTCCCTAAAATTACGCTACCAACATTGCCTCTATGCTCTTTCTCTTCCTCTCTCTCTCTCTCTCTCTCTCTACTATTCTAATAGAGGAAGATATAAAAAGTAAAAGAAAAAGAAAGAGAGAGAGAGAGAGAAAGAGAGTAAAGCGTGCCGTATTAGAAACGTGCATTCTCGGAGCTCGACGTTTAACCACATCGACTTTTAACCGCGAGTACGCTTTTCTCGAGTGGCACGTACAACCACCACCACAATCACCAACACTACCATCACCAACACCACCCTATCACCACTCTGACATACTAACGTCACATGGCGCACCTTCTGTACTAGCTTCTGGTCCACGTGTTGTATCCTTCAATAGGTCACAGTTCACGTTTAGATCCTTTACAACTGTGCTTTTTTATACTTTTTATATTACCTCATTTTTATTTCTTAAGTTTGTAATACGTTTTAACGGTTTTTTTTTTTTTTTTTTTTTAGAAAATAGTCAAGTGTCAAATTTAAAATTTATTTCTTTAATTTTTATATTGATATTGAGAACAATATTTTATGGTTACAATTTTATACGTGTTATTGCAAATATTTTGTTATATTATTTTTACTATGATCAATTATTGGAAATAATATTTTTCTTTTTATAGAGAATATGTCAATAATGCAATTATTTCTATTTATTAATTTGTATATTTATTTAATAATTTATAATTTTAATTTTATATAAATTATAATTATAATAATTTTTTAATTATTTATATATTGCATTAAATTTATATATTTAAGCATTTTAATTTAGAATTATTAAATATTATTTAATTTATTATCTATAACTATAATTAGAGATAAAATAATATAATAAGGTAATTAATATTATAATAAATTAATCATATAAGATAATTTTTGTTTGTTATACGATAATGTAATCTCACGAAAATCGTCGAAAATTTTTTTGACGATCGATACGATTGTTTCCGCCCGCCCCCCCGTAGTACTTATTAAAGATAAAGAAAAAAAGGGAGAGAGAGAGAGAGAAAAAAAAAAGATACGAATGAGAAAAAGAGAAAGAGAGAAATGGGAAGAGATAGAAATGCCGTTTTTCCTTGGCTTTTTACAGAAAAACGCGATTCCATTTTCTATCTAGAGCAGGGATGGTGGTGCACGGAACGTAATACGAGGGAAAATGCCAAGTCAGAAGTCTCGAGTGTTTGCGAGACTCGAAGCAGGTCGATTAAAGCTTGTGCAGGTTCTCGCGCTGGGATGAAAATATGAGGACTTCGTGGCGAGACGTTGCCTCGATGCTCGGAAAATCTTCTTTCGAATTTCTAAAAAAGAAAAAAGAAAAAGGAAGAGAGAGAGAGAGAGAGAAAGAAAGAAAGAAGGAAAAGATGGATACGAAAAATCGCAATAATCACGTTCTCTTGAAACGAGAATGGAAAAGAAAGATTTTCCTCTTATTTTTTTTTTTTTTTTTTTTTTTTATTTTCATTTCATTTTCTCGTCGAACAAATATTTTCGATTATCGATTTGTTTTATCAAAACGTATAAATTATTTCTATATAATGGCAAACGAACTACGAAACGTACATATATAGATATATAAACGTTTTTTCCTTTGATTCAATGATGGTAAAAAAAGGAACAAAATAAATTCACTTGACGAATCGTTATTAAATTTAATGTTAAGTGATCCACTTCGTAATTGCACACGACGTACGGCACGTCCTCGTTTCCATTTTATTTCTGTTCTGCATTTTTTTTTTTAGAATATCAGTTATATCTTATCTACAGAAAAAAAATTGATGAAAAGTAAACGAAATAAAGAGATAGAGAGAGAGAGAGAGATAAAGAATAAAAATTTCTACTTGACTCTGAAGCCTTCTTGAAAAAATAATACATATTGATGAATAAAGAAACTATGAATTAACTAATTATTTATTAATAATTAAATTAATTTATATTGTTTGTTTAAATTGATGCAACATTAGTACATATATCTAGTAAACGTTCATTTAATTTTATTTAATTGATATTTCGACTAAATGCCAAATTTACGCATATTTGTTTTAGTTTCTTTACTGTTATTAAAAAAAAAGTATTAAAACTATGAAAAATTTGAAATAGAATTTATCTGAAGAAAATTGCAAATCCTTTCTTATGAGAAGTTAAAGCACGTAAGAATAGACGAGATAAGCACTTACGTAAGTACGAACCGTTTCAGGCTTCTGGTATCTCCTAAACAGACAGAAAGATCTGAATTTCTTCGAAGGAGACACGCTAGGCACGAATAAAACGTTCACCGATCGTGAAAACCATCCTAGTGGCGTCGATACGAACGACGCACAACGATTTTCATATTCGAGATAAGAACACTATAGTCGCGTTCACCTACTCTTTTGCTACTCCGGACACGCTTTCGACAGTTCCAGCTGAATCCTCGATCAGTTTTTCTTTCCCGAGGGAAAGAAGAAGGAAGAATTTCCGTGTAAAAGGAGTAAAAAAGAAAAAGAATGTATGTTAAAGAAAAAGATAAAGAAGAATTTTGAAGAAGAGTAGGAAAAGAGAGAGAGAGAGAGAGATAGAATGGGAGAAGGGGAAGATTTGATCGAGAAAAAGTACAAGGACGTAGGTGAAAAATAAGAAATAAAGAAAGAAGAAGATGTAAAAAGAAAAAAAAAATAAGAAGAATGAAAAAAATCTTCCCCTTGTCGTTTTGCAAGGAAAAGAAAAATTTCACGCTTTGTGACACTCGGATCCTCTTTTTTTTCTCTCTCTCTTTCTCTCTTCTTTCTTTATCTTCTTCTTCTTCTTTTCTATTTTCCGTTACCTTTTACCCTTATCTTTCAGTCTGACGTGTCTACTGTAATACGCATAATTTATTTCAAGCTAGTACAATCTCACGAAAATCGTTAAAATCACGAGAGAGACGAGTGTTCTGTAATCTTCTACGTATACATAGATATAGATACAGACAAATATATATGTATATTATTTGAAAATGTGTATTGATGCCTAAAAACTCGGAGTATATGATCGGAGTACCGTCCTCTTCGAAATTCACTTTCAAACTAGCACAATGTCCTCTATGATAATACATTTATTCAATGTTGTTTATATGACTTTCCAAATGTTACGCATGTGTGTAACGATTATAATATACTTAATAAAGAGAATTTAAGATTATAACGTGCCAGTCTGAAGGTGAATTTCGAAGAGGACGGTACGTAGATCGTATACACCGAGGTTTTAGGTAACAATACATACTTTTATCGATTAATTAACAATTATTATAATAATCTAATGTATTTTACTTATATTAGAATAGTTTTTATACACGAGGCATATACAATTGATTTATTATTTAATTTTCGATGTTTACAGAAGATTTTCAACGTGTCTTTTTTTGTACATATGTTTAATCAAACTTTTTTACTTACATTCAGTACAGTATATCCTATATACCATATAAATATTGTATGATTTTTTTAAACATCCTGTATATATATATATCGAGAGGATATCTCAATTTTGATTCGTTCACGTGGCTTACTTATTACGAAACCTGTTCACGTGCGTGCCATATCACATGAAATCGTCTGATCTACTTTTCCGATCGTGATGGATGAAGAAATAAGGAAGGATAACTTCTTCGAATAGTAAATAGTTGAAATATTTGTTTCATTTGATAATAATATTTTTACGTAATTTTAAATAATATATAACACTCGGAAATAAATGTAATAATAAAAAAGAAAAATAATTAAATTTATTTCAAAACTAAATGCAATATTTTACTAACAAAATTGTTCATCAAATACTTTGTACAATATCACGAATATTTTTTTCATAATTTAATGTAATAATATTAGAAATGTAACATAACGTATAACATTTGTTCAAGTATTGAAAATTTCTGTACGAAAAAAGCCATGAGTTTTTCATCAAATACTTTGTGCAATATCAGGAATATTTGTTTAATAATTCAACGTAATATCTAATATTAGATATGTAACATTTGTTCGCGTATTGAAAGTTCACTTACGATAAAAGCCATGACTAATATTCTCTGGAATTTCGCCATGGCGCCTTTCTTAACCCCCAAGCACGAACAAAATGTCACTTGAAGTCGCGAAATCGTAAATGGAGTCGTTCGAAGCGATGACGTGGGGATACGACGAGTATCGCGATAAGGCACGCAGCAAATGTCTCCGATCAAGTTCGACGGGCTCGAATCGATATTCAACGTGCTTACGATAGGAAAACGATGCGAATCTTATTTTTGACATATCGAATATTACGTATAATAAATCATAGAAATGGAAAGCAAAAAAGAGACAAGAAGAAAAAAGAAAGAAAAAGCAATTTACACACACGTACGAAAATCTTGAATAGAATTTTGGATAAAATTGATTTACCCCCCCCCCCTCGTTTTATCGAAGAATTGTTTATATTTATTAACATAATAATTATTAATTTTTATTCAGATTTACCACTGTCAACGGATCAAATATCAACGAGAGCAACGACTACGGCAAAACGATCGGTGCCAACAGATGCACCTATGCTAAATTACATATTCGATACACACAGCACCTTAAATAAGCACCAACATCATCACGATCATCGTTGGGGTCCTCACTTCGAGGGTGAAAGTTCAGCGAAAAATCTCACCATTCAAGCTGGAGCCAACGTTATACTCGACTGCAAAATATCATTGTTGCAAGACAAAACGGTATGTGCATTTAATTCATAAATTACGTATTGATGTGCAATTAATTTCGTATTGTTATAAAATCAAATCATAATTTTATTAATCTACGTTTATCGATTGATAATAAATTATGAGTTATTTTATGACATAATAGTACAACTAGAAATTCCTCGATTATCTAATTGCTTGTAAAATGGTTAATAAACGTAACACACGAGACGAAAATTTTAGCTGTCTAAACGTTATAACGTTTCAATGAGACGCGTTATGATACAGGGTGAGAGCAAATATGTGTAGAAGGAAATTCCGAGAAAATCTACGCCTTATGAATATGTAATGGCAGTGTTGGCAAACGAATAAATTAATAAAAGCACGAGAGATAGAGGAAAAAAGGTGAAATGAAAATTTGATAAACGTAAAAATTAGTTTCATTTGAAAATCATCATAGTTAAAATCAAATATTGTACATTTACAGTTAACTCACGATCAATAAAGTAGAGATCGTTAAAATATTCTATGCGAGTTAACCTTCCCACCCACTCCTCACTTTACCTTTTTTTCTTTCACGTTTCAATCGTATATACATAGTGATTCTTTAAATCGAACTTTATGTGCTAAGTAAATCTCTCAGTCTGGTTTTCTCGTAGAGCCAACAACTCCGTGCCGAGCACGAACGTATTTGTCTTTCCTTCGACGAGTCATTTAGAATTCTGTCCTCCTTCTTCCCGCGTCGTCCTGTTTGTACATCACGTCTCACGTCAATACGGCCACAATCGGGCCGCATTTTCCCATTCGCGGTATAACTAGTGGTACGAGACATAAAGGATACATACGACCAGTCGAGCAATCGCATTTCGCATCACTTTAACACACAAATACAACTGACATATATATACATGACACATTATACTTCAAATGCATTTGATAACTAACGAAATTTATCACTTACAATATCAGAATCATTGAGCTAACACATCGGTCATTTTTATTCTTATTAAATATCAAACATTTTCATTTTTTTATCAAATGATATATCACATGTAAAAGAAATAACAAAATTCGATAATTGGTTAAAATCATTCATTGAATAATTGAAAAACGTACAGTTTTGACACGTTACCACTTAACTAGTTATTAAATTATTATTTCAAAGTAATATTTTATTCTTCTCTGTACTTTTTATCAATTATTTTTCATCAGTTCGTTTTCATATTCGATAATAATTAAAAAAGTGTCAGAAGGAAAATCGTTTTCCGTAAATATGTTAACTTTTCTACCGACTGACTGACGGTTCCGCACCTAACAAGCTCTCGACTTTCATTCAATTTCGAAAGAGTCGTTTGAAAATTCCGTTGGCTTAGTCAGCGTGTTCAAAGGGGTCAAGGGAAATTCTCTAAGAAGTAACGTCAACTTAAGAAGAGTATTTCTCCTTCTAGCTTGTCACCTTCCTTGCTATTCTGTGTTCTGGTTAACAAGCAGCCACCCCCATTCGTTTCCACTATTTTCAAATTTTCTACTTGCTTTTATCAAAGAAAAAGACATTTTTGAAAAATAGATACATATCTTTTACTATTTTCAACAAAATTCTTTTTGCTAAGTAATTTGCTTTCAAAATACCGATGACATAATAACGATAAGCGAGAATAGTTTGGGAAAGCAGTATAAGTGGTGCATCTTGTCTGTTACTTCGACAGAATATCGTCAAAGAAGCCCTTTGATAGTTCGTGTCCGATGAAGCCCTTAATAGACCTTCTTCCATCAAATATTTCCTTTAATAATCGAGAACCAATGTTATTACCAACTACCACAAATACATATTGCGTGTTCCAAGTTAATTTACATCAACCGAGACCTCGCGTTCTCCATTAGCATAATACTAATTATGGTTACTACTAAACGTCTGATTGAAGAATCCAATTTCTCATCGCGTCTATATCCTAAACGGGATTGTACAAAATTCCTAATTACGTATAATTATAATTTTATCGTCATGGAAACATCATACAAATTGTATCAACCATAAATAAATATCTTTTGAATCGTTCAATGGAAAATTTATTTATAGATACAATAATTACGTTATTGACTTTACTAAATATTTTAAGTTAAAAAAAAAAATGACATTTTAATGATCAGTGAAAAAGAGAAAAAATAAATCCTAACCAAGTACGAAGTTTGAGAAAAAGTAAAAAAAAAACAACTTGCTAAAGACTCGTGTTCGTGCATTAGGATGGGTAACTTCGAAAGATAATTTACATAATTTGATGATTACGAGTGCACGATATGTTCAGTATATCAAAGAGTTACCGCTTTTACTGCTAATGGTTATGATCCTCTAGAACGTATCCATTCGCCCGGTTCGAAATGCTAAAACGTTGAGAAACCCTGAACCACCATCATCGCTACCCACTTCGTTCGGTTATGAATATATCCTGAAAACGGAGCACTTTACTGAACTCTGACCTCTCACCCTCGTCTTCCTCACTTACACTTTTGCTCTGTCTCTGTCTCTCACGTTTTAGAGGAATATGGACGATTAATATAATTTCTATTGGTGTTAATACTAACGACGACAAATTAACGATATTATCTACGTGCGATTATCACCTATGTAAAGTTCATTTTAGTACCTATCAAAGATCTAATCTTACACTTATTGCATACCTGTCATACTCTATCGAAACAAATCAATTTTCACCATAAGACAAAATTCATTTTTACACATATTTCGTAACACAAATAAATATAGACGAATCGTAAAACGATCAGTCTGTGTTAAAACGTTTTTTTACAATTTTCAACTTTCATGTGATATAATAATTGATGAATAATGAATAACGAATGTTGAATGGGAATGATGGATAGAGTATAAAAAAGTCGTGAGTTTTGCTGCTATTATATGACGGGAGTATCGTTAAACGATTAGCCAGGTAGATTGGTATATGCGATTTTAAAAGGTAACTTCTATTTTCCCCTTTATATTCGATATATATATATATCGGTTACGTTGAATTCGTTTTTAATTGGATAATGTTTATAACCAAAAATGTTCTCTTTTATCAAATTTATAAATGTAATCGAAATAATTAGGAGAACAAAATACATGTAAATCGATAATATACAGTATACAAATGAAATATTTTACATTTTACAATTTAGGTGAAAATTTCATTCATTGTTTGTTATTAACCGATTATAAATCAATCAAATTAAACGTACAACATATAGATAAAGCATTGAATAAAGTTCGTAGATATGAATCGCATAGAAAGTAATATTGCAATAGTTATTTTATGGGATGACAGATAAAGGTGAAAAGAGAGAGGTAACACCGATTACAAGGTGTAACCTGGGTGGAACGTGTGTGGCTATACACAACGCACGAATCTCGGTTGAGCAGATAATACCGGTATACCTCGTAGATATCCATGTAGAAGATGTACGATATCGCGTGCATTTAATGGAGTTACTCGGAAACACACTATCCAATTCCAATTACGCGGATAAACTGCATACTCTGTCCTACGCTTTCGCACAACCTTCTCTATCTCTTTCTCTCTCACTCTCAAACGCGACACCTTCCAATCGGTTCGTTCTCTCTCCACCCCCAAACATTCAGATAAACTTTCAAACATGTTTGAAATTATGCTTTTACGTTGCTATCGAACGTTACAGATCGTGCTTAAAAAGATTACTATGGTTATCTATTTTTATAACAAAGTGTCATGTTTTCTATCAAGAGAGAAAGAGAGAGAGAGAGAGAGAGAGAAATAATATATAAATATAGGAATGAATGTATGCATGCATGTACTACGCGGAGTAGTTCTCAAAAATATTGACTTCAATCGTTCGAAGAATATCAACGAAACTTTACGCACCTGTTGATATTTTCACCTGCTATCTGTTTACTTCCAACAAGCTCAGCTTTGATTATTTTACATATTAAAATATTTATTTATTTTTTTTTTTGTTAATCAAATAATCGTTGAATATTCATGATAAAGTGATTCTTATTGTTACATGAAAATAAAAAAAAATAAATGAATTTATTTTGAATCGTTTACAGGTATCCTGGGTAAGGAGACAGGATAACGGTGAAAAAATGAATTTATTGACGGTCGGTCGTCAAACTTATACAGGTGATTCAAGGTACACCATCGAATTTCAATATCCTGACAATTGGCGTTTACAAATAAAAAATGTGAACAGTAGCGACGAGGGTCAATACGAATGTCAGATCAGCACATTTCCGCCAAAGTTTATTCTCGTAAACTTGCACATCAACGGTAAGCATGCATCTCTTATTCTAACACTTCTAATATTATTTGTATTTTTACGATACATATAAAGCATATGTAACAACACGTATCACCTACCACCAACACATAGTATAAGACATTGTTTACATTCGTATGAGTAAATATAAAACACGAACGATGTCCCTTTGATGTCATTCGGTATAACTAAGGTAGCTAACTTTGAAGCATTGAACATATTAGTTCAATATAGTTATAAAAAGGTAACTTTGAATATTTTTATTTAGTTCTTTTTGTTTCCTTTTATTTCTCCTTCGTTACATTTTCCTTTGTATCATCGATACACCTATACATAAGCATATATGATGTACGTAGTATTACATAGCTAAGGGAATAAGCTCGATGAATCCTTTTTGTAAAACCTACAATTTCATTGTGCATTCCCAACCTACCTATTCTATATTCTCTCTTTTTCTATTTCATTTTCTACTGGATAAAAACTGTATTTGTTCCACTTACGATCCCATGATCTTATCCCTCTATCTCTCTTCAACACTTTTCTTTTTTTTTTTTTTTGTATGTACCTTTTATCGTTTTTAAACGATAACAATGTTTCTCTAGCGAATAAGCTCCGTGAGACATTTCATTTGAAAATTTTTTTTTCCTTTTTATACGCCGATTACCATGCTCATTACCGGTACTATACTCTACGGTTTAGAAAACCGTTGAAACCGTTCAAAACGATCCTCCTGCGAAAACGATATGGTCTTTTTCCCCCTTAATACGCCACCATTTTTTTTCTCCCTCGAATCGTTCATTTCCAGAAAAGAAAAAAAAAAAGAAATGGGAATTTCGAATGAGAAGGAGGTGCTCTATGAAATTGAGCTTAATGTAATTACATTCGATATGAGAGTCCTCTCTTGAATTAAAATGAGTACACGTTGTATACCTTTACGTTTTAAATAATAAATTATTTATTTAAGATTTTACGAGTATTTTCATTATCGTTAATTTGCAATTAGTAGTTATTTTCTTTTTCTTTGATTTATACTCTAATTTAAGAGAGTTCTTAATGAAATGAAAATAGCGTATTAAAATTTGAAGGATAGAAGAAAGGAGAAGGTAGGAGTGGGTTAAGTAAAAAGTAAAAAAGGAAAATGTAGAATTTCGTTGGAAATAACGTAATGAAGAAATTCTGAAAATGTAGCCAATCGAAATGAAAGAGATCTCTAGGTGATATTCGTGTGTCTATTAGATTAGTAGGAGAGAATAAAACGTAGGACGAGAGAAAGAATAGCGGAATGAAGAAGAGAGAATAGAAGAGAGAGAGAGGGAGAGAGAGAAAGCTCTGGTATTCCACTAGCGATCGAACAAATTGCCTTCGTTCGCAAAGCCCTCGTCGTTGGTAGGAAGAGACCGGTTAGAAGGATAATTGAAGGCGAAGTGGCATAGTTGAAATGGACGGGGAGAGTGCCAGTGAGCCAACTATTCGATGAGACTTTGAAAACGAAAACGGAAGAAACTTAGTTTCGTCGAATCGCAAAAGAGAAGTGGATAGGATTAATGTCTTCTATCAAGACTGTACTGTACAATTTCGTGGTTAGGTAAGAAAGTAGATATGGTCTCAGAATAGAAAACTGTGCTTAAAATGTAACCAGAAAAAGTGGACAACTCACTCGTTGAGGGTGACGATGAAAATTTTCAATTCTACCTACAAAGTTTTCAGAAGAAATAAATGAACGGTAGGTTGTTAATTAGGTTTGTTAAACAAAGTTTTTTTTTTATTCTGAAACCAACATTTCACTGATTGATATTTAAGTTAATTATTTTCAAAAAATTGAAGTATCATTTAACGTATGAGATTTCTAATGGGATTAACGTAATTGTTAAATTATTTATGGTAATAGTCAACAGCTTATAAAATATTTCATAGGGATAGTTTTCTTAATTTTAGAATGACACCTATATGTGTCATGTTTCACATTCAAGTTGGAAGAGATTATGGGAACGATTTAACAGGATTATTCATTTCTGCAATTCGTCAAAACTAGTTATTCCCGTTAATGTTTCGACCACGGCCCGTCAATACCCATTCTAGGAATTTCAGTTTGCTCCAGTTTTCAGTTTAACGGACCTATCGTGAAGTAGCAGCAAAATACTTGTCACCCTACCGACAAACCGTCGAACAAACTCCCATAACAACGTCACCCTCGTAAATTCATTTGGTTGCATTCCATAACCATAGATGCAAGCTTAGAAATTATATTTTACTTGCTTATGATCATTTTATTTCTAAATTTTATTTCTCAATGTAAATTAGATTTAAAGGGCACATTTTAAAATCTTTTTTTAAAAAAAAATAGGTTACTTTTTTCTTACATCGTTTTCGTTTTCCCATAAGTTGAGAAATAAATCTCAATAAAACTTACGATTGAAAAACTTTTTGATCCATGATATTCGTAAACTTATCACTAATTAGCAAATCATTTAATTTTTTTGTTATAAATACAAATGTATTGTATTTCACACGAGAACGTAAATATATTATAAATTCGTAAAGAGACTGTACTAAAAGTTCAAGATGAAACTTCAGTCAAGTATCACAAATGAAACTTATCATTCGTGATTTCAACGTGATGTCTTTTTAAGAACAAAATTCCTATCGTATCTTTTTTCTTATCTTTCTCATCATTTTCCTCTCGAGACACTGTTCTAATTTTTCAAGTTGACGAAAATGAAGAAAAACGTTTAACTTATTTAACAAGAAAAAGTTAAATATCACAGTATATTTAATTAACATCCGAATATTCATATAATCCATGGAGTTATTTTTTTTCTAACTAGATTAAACAAGAGTAAATACATATTTAGAAAAAGTTATGTACATATATATATATATATATCCTTTCCTTCTTGTTTCCTCGATCGACAAAGTTAATTTCCTACTCGGTAGTTGCTCTACAAGGAAAAAGAAACTTTCATAACGGAAGGGGTCGAGAGCTTAAACGTTTTGTCTTTTTTTTTTAGAAAAGGAATTATGACACCTTCTTCGTAAACTTTGAAAAGATTCTTTCGTAACTTTCTTTCTATCCTTCTCTCTTTTTCTAAGATCCCTCTCTCTTACTCTCTTTTATTCAACTAGACGATATACTTTGAAAAATCCATTTCGTTGCTTATCTCATGGGAATTTGCCACGAGTTTGTTTTCTCCGACGAGAAAATTTATATTATTAACTTTCTGCAGTATTTGCGTAATGAAAAAATTACTTGAGAACTGTTCGCAGCATCTATTTCTATTATTCAATAGGGCCACGCGTTACTAGGATAAAAATAATATTTCTTTTCTTAGAAATAAAAAAAAAGAAAAAAACGAAAGAAAAATATTATATGTCAGAGAAAAAATGAAAAAAAAAATAAAAATAATGTACCGATATAAATACCTTATTTATATGCCAATAGAAATTGGTATAATTTACGATCACGAGTGTTGATCCAGGTGTAATACGAAATCGATGAATGTTATCGTTATATCCTAGAATTCGTTCAGACATGTTCAGAGCCGAAGGATTTGAGAAAGGGATCCCGGTCAGATAATCTTCTCGAAACTACGGCAGAGCCGTTGTCACTTATACATACCAAGAAGCAGAAGGGTCGTGTTTCCTTGTTGTACGAGCTAGCGAACGAAGAGTAAAGGATCAGTGTATAATCCTAGACAGGAAGATACCAACTAGAAAGAGGTGACATCCGAATTGCTAAAGTTATCTGTACATCAACCATTCGACAAGCTTTTCATATACCTTTTCCATCTTATTTACCTTACCCTAGGATTTTTCTTATTATAGTATACCCCTTGATAAATGGTGTATTAAACAAAAACAAAAAAAAAAAGAATAATTTAATTCCATTTTAATAAATTTTAATTTAAAATTTTATGTTAATAATAAATAAAAGTAAATATAATTTAATTCAATTATAATAAATTTTAATTGTAAATTTTATTTTAGTAATAAATAAACAAATATTACTTAATTCAAATAAATCTTTAAAATATTTAAATTTGTTAATAAGAAAATATCAAAATTATCACAAAAATCATCTTGTTCGTAAAAACATAAAAAAAAAAAAATAAGAAGTTAAAGTAAGTTAAAAGGGACATCTTGACAAAAGTACCTTTTCTGTATTCTTAACCTATCATTCACAAATAAGATATTTTAATGGAACAATAATAAAGTAAAAATATTGTTAAAAGGTAGAAAACGGGCGATGATAGAACGGAAGAAGTACTCGACGCGTTTTGTACAAAGCTTACTGTAAAGATTCTAAACGCTATTGCATCAAATAGAAAGAAAACGATCGGGAACAGAAGTTGGCAGGGGCAAAACATTTTTCACCTATTCATGAACTCGAAAATATCACTCGAAAGCAGTCGAAATCTATACTCAAAGCATTTCCCTTCTTCATGATTCTTTTCGAGTAGCCACAAACATACAAATGCGTAAAGACACCTACATATATATATATTACATATATATATATATTCGGCCCAGTTTATGTATATATATATATATATATTTTTCTCTCCTCTTTTTCATGAATACCAACACACTTACTATATATATATATATAGTAATGCACATTCGTAAACCCTAACGCTTTCGATCTCGTACCTGGAAGGGATCCAGAAAACGAGGATAGGGTGGAACCGGCTTTTGAATCAGCTCGCACCAACGTTAAATTCTCTATATATAGATGTGTGAGCGTGGACAAGCGCGTTTTGTCAATATTTATTGGTCCCCCCATAAAATAAAATACTCGTGGCTCAAGTCAGCCGTAATCCGATAGTGCTCGAAGTATTTAGGTCAAAGAGAAAGAAGAGAAAGGTAGAAGAGGAGAAAATTGGGGAATTATTTCGTCGAATGAAGTGTCGAGATTTATTTTCGAACGATAATTTATAATCAACAGGATTTTAATGATACTACTACTACTACCTATGATAATATTAACCGCCACAACCCAACTGATTGTGTTTAATACGCAAAGGTGCGAAAATGAATTTCCATAATGTGATCGTTGATTTAATAAATTTTCAAAATGAAAATGTTAACGGTGTTTTCGATACTTTGGTATAGATAACAAAATTTTATTTTATTATTTATTATACTCAATGTATTTATATCTAATAGATATTCATAATAATCGATAAAATATTCATATCACGAAAATATATAAACGATTATTTAATAAATACTATGTACTCATGTTTAGTTGTTTTTTTTTCTTTTTTCTTTGATAGAAAAAATCTGGAACAAAATATATTTTTTCTAAACAATCAAATCTTTAATTCGTTTTGTTTTATTCCATTTCAGCGCCATCCGTCCAAATAGTGGACGCAGCGGGTCAACCGCTAAGGGATAAATACTATGAAGCAGATAGCACCATCGAACTGTTATGTGTTGTGCGTCACATAGCGATGCAGGTCCAGTATAGTGTCGTCCAATGGCTCCATGGTAATCGAACTCTGAACTACGACACGACGAGAGGTGGTATCAGGTTGGTCAAACAATCAAAATAATATATCAGTTGAGTTGTTGTAGTTTCAACATTTTCTCAAATAATCCTATTTCGATTGGTTCATTAGTTTTTTAATTAATTATAACAAATAATTTGTTGTCAATGTGTTTTCTATATTTAATGAAAAATTGCATGACCTTTAATAAATTTTTTTCATTTTTTTTTTCTTTTTTAGATAAAAATGTAAAACTTTGGTTGCAACACGAAAGAACTAAAAATGTTCGATGAATTAAATGAATCCCATTTCGATTGGTTTAACGTTAGTTTTTTAATTAATTATAACAAACAATTTATTTTGTTTAACAAATCTTTTATACTTAATAAAAAATTGTATGACCTTTGATAAATTTCTTTCTTTTTTGGATAGAAATGTAAAATGTTGGTTGCAATGCAACTAAAAATGTTAAATGAATTAAATGAACGAGTTTTTTTGTTTTTTAAATCGTTTTTTCATTGAAAACAATTAAATTACAAAACTGACGTTAATAATTTTATTAATTATCACACTCAAACACATAGATGTACAATAAATGCTACGAATTTATTCTTACATTTCCATCGAAGCATCATCGTTCGTAATCCAATAATGAAGCTTCCTGTACCTAGAGCTTTCGAGATAATTATTCTTTATTCTTGACAAAATGCTCGTAGTTTCTTCTTATTCTTAACTTCGAGTCTTTCTCATTTTATTTTTTTAACTTTCAACTCTGGGAGTCCTCCAGCCAGTGTAAATATTAAAGAACGTTTTTAACAATTAAAGGGAACATTATCATCCGAGACCAACATTTTAAAGAGATTTCTTAGAGAAAGAACGAAAAAAAGAAAATGAGGAAGGGAAAGGAGGGTTGGCAGATGACTACCAAAACGTCTGGATAGTAATTTTCTCAATTAGAAAATGTTCTAGAAAACGGTAGAACGATTTTACTATTCGAAAATAAATGGGATAAAATGGGATTATATATACATAGACGATCAAGAGAAGATGAGTCCTGACATTCTTCTTCTTCTTCTTCTTCTTCCTTCTCATTTTTTTTTTCTCATTCTCTCTCTTTCTTTTTATTTTTTATCTCATAACGACATTCTTAATACATTGCTACGCTTTCATAACTCGATTCGACACGGTCGAGTTTTAACTGTGAGTAATAGGAAGGCGTAAGAATTCATTATTCGAGTTGGTCGTTAGAAATGCAGAGTGGTGGGTCTTTTCTACTCTCTTAGTTTAGTGAATAAAATTCAAACTCGTTGGGAAAGCCAACGGTCGAGAACATTTCAAGCTCATAAAATAAGAAGAAAATATAGGCCATGCAATACCTTAGATTTAAGAATCCGTGAACGAGTAAGTAATACCAATGATTTTCATTGAATGTGATGGTTTTTAACGCGTAAAAAAGATCAAGATTTTGAAGAAGAAGAAGAAAACATGTAAGAAAGCAAATTTGTTTGTATACGAGAATACTATTCGCGAACAAGATAAGCTACGAAACACTAAAACTAAAGCAATTTAAACTTTCCATCGTTGTCACCTTTCGAAACTCCATTTAAACGGTGCGACGTTAATTCTGTAACCGCTTGTACACTCCATACAATTGTTATACGAACAAGATATAGTATAACATATATATGGATGTGTATGTATGTATGTATTTAGGTGCCTATACGTCGTCATGTTTTTCTTTCTATTAGTTAGTAGAGTGAGTTCGAATGTTTCCGTTCGAGTTACAAAATTGGTCCTTTAATTACCGACGTGCATTATACTCGCGTTACACGTGAGTTAAAATTATACAAATATTCAAGTTAGGAAATAATAAAAGTCAAAATATGTCCTACCCGTCGTTAGAATGAACTATTATTTGCAATGTATTCGTAGTTTACTAATTTATTTCATGAAACACGGATAGTTGCATTAATTAGTATTATTCGAGTGTACTTTTATACATTCATCTTATTTATATTATATATACTGTTTACATCCATTATTTCGTATTAGTATTATAGTAAATCTTAATAGTCCTCTTTTGTTGTTTAATAATACATTTAATTAAAACATCGTTTAAATAACACAAAATATTTATTTTCTAAAAGAACATAATTCAACAAGAAAATAGTTTAAGCAAAACGTAAACTTTGTTGTATCTACCAATAGAATGTTAAGGTAGATCGAGTTATCGTCTTTAATATATATATATATAGTAAAGTTATAATCTAACTTTCAACTATTCGAGATGTGCCTTTCGCAAAAGCGCCACTCACGTTTTCCCATGGTACGTTGATCCATTTTAAAGTAAACCTTGACATACATGAAAATAGTTAGAACTGACACATACACGCATATATAAAGAGTAAGAAGATAATCTTGAAAATAATTCCTACGATTAATCGAAAATGTTAGTTAAAAAATACGAGAGAGAGAGAGAGAGAGAGTACTTAAGAAGTGAAATAATAGTAGACAGAATTTAAAGTCGTGTTATTATTTGACTCGAAAATGTTGTACATCGGTTTCTTAAAACCACTAAGAGAAGAATAAACTATGTGTCACCGTAGACATTGCTAGTAGTAAATGGAATTAGTTTGTTGTGAGCTCTTTGTACATATCAAGACGTGTACATGAAAGTGAGAGAAAGTCTCGTCTTACTTTGAGAAGTAAGATAGAAAATAAAATAAGTTAGTACTAAACCTTTCCAAACTACTACCCCTCCCCCTCCTTTTTCCCCACTTGTAACCATCACAATACTCATCTCTCTTCGTTATTCTCTTTCTCGTTGTATCTCGTGTTACCAGACCACAACCACCATACATTTTATTCCATTTTTTTTTTTCATCAACCATTATGATGTGGTACACCTGGTCGCGTAAACACAACCGACTAACGTCACTTAATATTTTGTCCCGCAGCAAGTTACTTCCGATAAAAAAATAAAAAAAAAGGTAACTGCGGGGAAGTGAGAGTAAGAAAAGAAAAAAAAGAAAGTACACTATTATCTTCGTTGGGTAAGAAATTAGAGCCGACAAGTGCTGATTTAACGAGCACTCGAGGCTGTTTAGTACGCCGACCTCCGGCATTTCCATGACATTATGGAGTAGAGTAATGAGAAAAGCGATGATAAAAGTGATAAAAGTGAAGGTAGAGACGCATCGTCGTCGTCGTCGTCGTCGTCGTCGTCGTCAACGGTTTAACGGTCGACGATAAAGCTAGTGAATTTGGTAATATCGTTTGGGTGATTAAAAACCAGAAAAGATTCTCTCGTTTCGTCGCAATGATGGAAAAAAAAAATTAAAAAAAAAAAATTAAAAAAAAAGAAAAGAGTTATAAAATTTAAAAGAAGGAAATATCCTATCGGTGCATTATACGTATGTATGTCGAACGATAGAGATTAATCGATGCGTGATATATGGTTCCGTCTATGGAGATAGGAAATAGGGCACGATGATAGAATGAAAGAGAATGGAAAGAAATTCGACGATCGTCAAATCGTGCGGATATTAAATCCATCGGAAATTTGGCATCGAAAGGAAATTTGCATACGAACGCAAAGAATGAAATTTGAACTGAGTTACTTCGTCATTATTCTTTAAAAGAGAGAGAGAGAGAGAGAGAGAGAAATAACTGGAAAAATAAAGTGAGATTGATTCATTTTTTGTTATTTTAATTTCCTTTTATTTAATTTTATTTGTTTTTCCCCCCTCACGAAAATTCAAATTGTTAAGAATGATTGCAATCAACCAAAGTGTATTGTCAAGAAGAAGAAAAAAAAAAAAGAAATGGAATGTATAGAATAAAAAGAAAGGAAGATGGAAGTAGACAATTTAAAAGATCGAGTCAAATGAACGAACGTAATCTATCGATGCGCAAATGCAAGCACGTGTAATGGAGATAATCAAAGTGTATTTAATCTGTATTCGTACGTTCGAGAATTCGCTTAATTGATGATCAAATAATCGAAATTTGGTTCAGATTGGTGCTCGGATAATGGATTTTCAAACACATTAGTTAGGAAAGGGATACATTTTACAATGATGCTTATTGAAGCGATTGAAAAGTATTATTTATATGTATGAACAATTTCTTTTTATTTATTTGTTTATATTTGTAGTTCTATTTTTTTGTTTTTTTTATTAAATTGGTATCGCACAAACGATACTTAATAAAATCATATAAGAGTTTGAAATAGATGATAATCTATCCTAATTCATCAAAGTGTCACTTATACGGATGCCGATGATTCAAAGCACTGAAATAAGTCGAAAAAGTTTGACATTTTTTTTTTTATTTTGTACGTTATCAACTATTACACGCTTCTATTATATTAGCAACGATCGATCAAAATAAAAGCTTACGATTCACTTCGTGATTATTAAATCATGACAGTAAAAGGATGGATTTGTATGAAAAGAAAAATATAAAAAAAAGTAAAAAAACTAAAAAACATTCTCACAAGATCAGCGAGAACTTTGACAAAACGAGAGAAAAAAAAAAAAGATCTTTTTCATGAAAATAATTAAGGCATTTTAAATAATTAACAAGTACATAAATGCATAAAGCTCATATTTAATTATTTACAAAAGGACACATTACATTTTACTGCAATTAAATTAAAAATTATGCTAACACAAAAACACGTCTTAATTATTCAATTGAAACATACAGAATAAATTGTCCAAGTGTGTTGGTGTTCAATTTAAGGGCTAAGTTCCTTTAAATGAGAGTCATTTTTCATCACGTTGAAGTTGCACGCAGAGAGAAGGGATTTCCACTTCGAGAAGGGTAATCCCGTTATTTACATAAAATAGGTGTTCTCGCTTGGTTCGCGACGCAATTAGCGCTACGCTCCGTTGCGAAATCAAATATATACTACGTCGTTGTATTAACAAACATGTACCTAACTATATATATATATATATACATATATGTCTATCGCCATGCTTCTTCTGTGTGTGTGTGGATCAGCAAACAATCTTTTCAGAAACTTTCTGTTTTTTAGTTTTAATTTTTTTTTTTTTTTTTATTATCGTTGGAAGATAACGAGCGGACAAATTGCAGCGCAAGAATTTTTTCAATTAAACTCTTCTACCCACCCACCCAAACCTCTCAGCCCTTTTTTTTCTCCACGCGTTCTTTATCTCTCTCTCTGTTTCTCTCTCAAGAGTTGGTATGAGGTAAACCCTTTATCCTACTTTTTCTTACCACCATAGAATCGTTCTCTCCCCGTGTGTTCGGTTAAACGGATAAACGTTAATCATGTCGAGAATCGTGGTGACTGCGATTAAGAGCTTACGCCAAGTCTCTCCCCCTCCCCCTGTCCACCCTCCGCCCACCTGATTCTGTAAGAAATAAGTATTTTACTCGTTCTTTGTTTTTTTTTTTTTTAACATTCCTTATCTCTTTATCTTTCGTGGAACATAAATTCGTTTAACTGTCTAATTGAATATCTTTTTTTATATAAAAGTCATGCACAGAAATTGGATAAAAAATGTGTGCAATTAATAGACAAAATTTCACTTTTGTCAGGTGTCATTCACAACTCTACAACTATTACTCTACTACTTTATTATATTATTACTATTATTTATTATATTTGTATTATTACTACTAAAAATCTTCTTCAAACATTTTACGTTTCCCTCCTACTTCTTATTTTTATTCTTCTTTTATTTATTATTCCACAAGATTAAAGACAAAATAAAAAAATATATAAAAGAATCTTTTAAAAAAAACAAACAAAAGAAGGGGAAATGGGAAGTAGGGTTAAAATATTTTTATCCAGCAAGGAAACACGATCAAAATAGAATAGAGAACTTTCCGCCATCTTTTCATTTGCCTTTCCCGAGCTTTTCCGAGAAAGCAGTGCACGAACGAAAGAACGGGCCAGCAGTCCCTTGAGGCCAACCTCCAACTTCACCCTTTCTACCCCACTCCTCCCTAAACTCACTCCCCTGAAAGCCTCGAACCACCACCAACCCCTTTCCCTATCCACTTTCTTCTACTACTTCTTCTTCTTCTTCTTCTTCTTCTTCTTCTTATTCTCCCTTCCACCCATTCCTCCCGAGAACCGCGGTTGTTAAATTGAAACCAGCAATTAACGTACTTCGAGGAAGAGGTCGTCGGCGCTATTCTTCTCTTCCTCGAGTAGAAGCAGAAAAGTAGTAGAGATGCTTTCTAACGAGAAGAGGGAGACCTATTTAATGCCAGTGTCGCTTGCCCGCTCGAGAAACCAAGATACAACTCCCCCCCCCACCCTCATCCACGCGTTTGTCATTTTCTTTTTTTTTTGTAACCAACCCCCCCCCTCTCTTTTTTTACTTTTTTCATTTTCTTTTTGTTTTTTTTTTTTTTCAATTTTGCACTGAGCTGCATCGATCCACCAAGCGCGAGATGAAGCGAACGAAGAAAAAAATGAAGGGTGAAGAGAAAAAAAGGGGTACGAGAGAAAAATGATGAAAAATTGGGCCAGGAATATCTTTTAGTATTAGCTCTTCTCTATGAGCTATCATTCATTTTTCATTTCGTGATGATCTACACAAAAAGAAACAAATAATAATAATAATAATGTTAATAGAGAGTATAATTTTATATTTGAAGTGTTCGTGTAATTAATTGGAAAAGTATTGGATTGACAAGAAAGTAATTTCGGTAGTAAGTAAATATAAATATATTATAAAATAATATAAGTATTTTAATATATATATATAGAATATTATTAGGTTGGCAAGAAAGTAATATTTCACACAAGAAAACCGAAATTATTTTCTTGACAACCCAATATGTAACTCTCTAGTTGGAATTGTTCAAAATTCTTACGTGTGATCTAAATTTGAAGTATAATTTTAATTTTACTTTATTCACTTTATATCAGTTTACTTTTGTACGTATATATACGTCGTATCTAATTTACAAAACCACACACGCGATAATCGTTAATATCATAATGTTAAATTTGAATTAATTTTTTATGTTTAATTCACATGTTTCAATAACAAAATACGATTACTATTTAACTTCGAGATTTGAGGAAAAGTTTTAAGATCAAATTAAAATATAAAATTAGATCGGGGGTGGGTGGCGGGAGAGGGTGGTTAGGAGTAGGAGATTGAGAGGAGGTTTGTAATTAGACTTTAGAGAAAAAGGAAAAAGGAAATATATAGTATAATGGGGTAGAAGGTTGAATTGCATGTTCGTTGGTAGTAATGAGAAATTCGAGAAACTCTTTTACTCTGAAATGTTTCCCATTATCCTCGGCAAAGGAACAAAAGCTAAGGAAGGACAATAACGATGGGAAGATTTCATAAAGCGTTTTACATTAGATCGGATCGACTGAGACTCCTTGTGTATACACCACCGAATAAAACTTGTTTCATCTTATAAACGAAAAACAATCAACTATGTTTGAAATTTTTGTTGTTCGATACAAATCACATCGAATTGAAATGTTTATTTTATTGTATTATTTATTTTTATTTTCAGGGGAAGGAGAAATATTCAAATTCATATTTTACTCGTTGAAAGAAAACAAACACACATTCTTTCCACAAAACATTATAAATATATCATCAAACTCGTATTATATCTCTCTCGATGTCATTTTTCGCACAAATTCCAATAAATATAATAAACAGTACATTAAATCGAATATTATACAATGTTAATGGTGAAAAAATGAATAACGCGTGATTTTTAAACCGTCATGAAACGTCCGAGTTTACATTTATTACATAGCGTTGTTATTTAATTAAAGCATATCTTCCTTTAAATTACTCTGCTCGTGCTCGCTTTCTCGTATCGTGGAATGATAATAAAATTAACAAATAAAAAAGAAGCAAAAAAAAGAAAAAAAAGAATTAAATAAATAAATAAAAATGATAATAAACAACTAGAAATATTAGAGGACGTACACAGAACGACGAATGCATTTGCGATGCAATATTTTGTCGTATGATGATCGTACATGAAGGGACACTTTATTCCGCATACATTATTCCGATTTCGTTCGTAAAAGCTCGCGTATCCTGCGGAGATGAAGTTTCCTATATGTATATGTACATATATAAATATCTATACATATATATATACACATTGAAATGAAAATTTCAACGAGTCGCATTTGTTTTAGCGTGAAAACGGACCTAATGGAGGAAGGGGCCAACTCTACTCTCAGTATAGCGAGGGTCGGACCAGCGGATAGTGGTAACTACACGTGCATGCTCACCACCATGCCTGATCAGCCTGCAACGATTCATGTACATGTCCTGAACGGTGAGAATAAAATAGAATAAAATTTGCTTCCTCGCGTACAGAACTCTCATCCACACACTACACTACCACTCTTTTCCTACTAACAGTGAATACCCGTCTACCGAAATACGATGTCATATCTTTCTCTCTCTCTCTTTCTCTTTCTCTCTCTCTCTCTCTTTTTCATCTCGATCGATAAGCACTCAAATATTCATACGAAAGAAGAGCGACGAGAAAGACCTCGATCCTGGCCTACCGCAATATACATATATATATTTGGTATATTTCTATACATGTATATGTGTACATATATTTTACGTATACTGTATATAATATATGTACGTACTTACATTTTAGACCAGATATCAGAATTTTTATTCTCACGGGAGAAAATGTCTGTATCCCCCGATACATTTCGATCATTCGGAAGACATTCGGATAAAATTGAAAATGTAACTTTTGGATCAACGAGTGAAGAATTCATCCCTGATAAGATACGATAAATAGGTTTTCTCGTTTAAGACTATTCTTTATTTTTTCAATTACTTACTTCTCACGAGTTATTTTTTCTCTTTCTATGTATTATATTTTAATTACGATCGATAAAATATGAACCGATATGTGCGAACATTTTCATTCTGAGAATTCTCTTTCAAAATTTCCTACGGTTATTTAATATTTTCAATCGTAATTGTTCAAATAAAATTACAAGATACTAAATTTATTGTTATTTACGATTTGATACCGTACAAGTTTCCAATTATGTGTCAAATAATCATTGAATGAAATGTGAATAAAATGTTGACAAAATTTTTCAGAATAGATGAAAGTTACACATTTTCCAATCGCATTTACATTCTCTCTCTCTCTCTCACACACATACACCTAGTGAAATTTCGAGCTCGTCGATATTTTCAAACGCAATTCATTTTTCTTTTTTTTTTTTTTCATTTTATTCCTTTACGCGAATCGGAACACTAACCTAGCGGAAGTGACGCACTTGTCGCTACTGAAAAAGCTGCTACTGCTGTTGCTGCAAAACGCTAGTATATGTTTCTCTTTCTCTTTCTTTCTAACAAAACACACCTAGAAAAAAAAGAGGTAGAAATAAAAACAAGAGAAAGAGAGACCAAAAAGAGAGAGAGAAAAAAAATACATTCGATTGATCCTTTAGAACAAATCCCGATGGAATAAAGTGAACACCATACCATGAAATAGATGTATGGATAATCCAACCATAATTCCATCAAGCCTCATCCACCTATCCTTTATGTTGCACAGAAAGCGATATGTTGCTTTCCACTATAACTAGAAGCGCCATTGTTAAACCGAGAAAGCATTCAGCTATCGATACTTTCCTCGATGCTGATCGAAACATTGTCTCGATAAAGCTTCTTCTTCTTCTTTTTTTTTCTCTTCCTCCACCACCATTTTCTATCCACTTGTACGAACACAATCTTCCAACATTTTACACGAGTGAATGGACGACGGACAAGTAGTCTTTGAAAATACAATTATATTTTTTACAAAATATTTTTCCCTGAGAGGATTATTTTTTATCAAAAGTGTGTGTGTGTGTTTCTGTTTTTTAGTGTTATCATTTTTTATTATATTTTATTTATTAAAAAAGAAAAATATTTCTATCGATGTAGTAATATTTAGATAGTCATTATTAGAAATAATTATTTAGAATTTAATTGTTTTATTAATAACACTTTAATGACCGTTCACACAACATGTGTGTGATAACCAGAACAATCGTTATTGGCTGTTATTTATTTATAACTGTATATATATATATATATTTAAAATCATATAAAATTAAATATTTGTTGGTAAATTATTTTTTGTTTTATGTTAATTTTTTTCGTGAATTTAATAAAATTTCTTTGAAATTAATTCTTCAAAAATATTACCGGGCCCCTGGCGACGTTTGACTACTTAACCGTGCAGCCATTAAAGTGTTAATAATTATTTCGAATTTTTATTAATTTATTTAGAAATAAATTTTGCTTCACTACGACAAGATAATAAAATAAAAGACCAGCTACTGAAATTTTTCGGGAAGAAAAACGAAACAAAATAATATTGTAACCATTGTTAAAAATTTCGAAGTAGTTCAACGATTTCTTATCTTGAAATAACTATAAAATGTTAAAAGTTGCAAAAGTATTGTTGAAGGGCGTTACGTATAGACACGAAAGACACGCTATTCAGTGCCAAGAGAAAGATAGATAAAAAAAGAAAGAAAGAAAAAGAAAAAGAAGAAGGTTCAATTCAGCGACACAACACAAGGGCTACCTTTAGAATTTTCCTCTCTTAGCATCCTCTTTTTCTTTTTTTTTTTTCTTGCTCTATATAACACTTTCTTCTTCCTCTCTTTCTCTCATCGAGAATATCTCACCTACTCTGTAAAAAAAAAAAAAGAAAAGTTACAGTGTTTGAGTGTATACCCCCGATGTTTCAGGAGAAAGCCTAGCCGAGTTGCATCATGGTGGTTCTAGCGACATTCAAGCGGATGTCTGGAGTTCCCTACTCCTCTTCTTCTTCCTCTTCGCCATTCTAGGAAGGCTTCAGGTGCTGAGATGAAGACTCGACAATGCTCCACCCTACTACCACCATCACCACCCTTTAACAAAGGCGTTCTTTTCTCGGTTATAACTGACAATGAGATGATAAAGATGAGCGTGCAATGACCGATGACTTTAATAACACATATGACGTGACTTGACGTGACGTGACAAAGCAAAAAAAAAAATAAATAAATAAACTTAAAATAAGAAAAAAGAAAAGAAAAAAGAAAAAATAAAACGCAAAAAAAAACGTTATCGTCGCTATACGTGGTACGAACTTTTTTTATCGTTTCGAAAGGTGTGTGTGTGTGTTTGTGAATGRAAGAATGTGAGAGAGAAAGATTGAGAATGTTTGTGAAAATTGAGAAAGAAATGTACGATCGACGGCGTTGTGCTTATTGTTTTAATCATACCTTGCAAAACGTTTAAGTATGAAAATTGAATAATATAGTTAAAAAGAGTATGAAAGAGAGAAATTTGTTAAATATAAGTGATTTTATATAGGGACCTGAATTATCGGCAAATTGTTTGATTAAAAATTAACGAAATTATTCTCATGGAATATAATTCATCTATGTTTTATTGTTATTCATTGTGATAATAATGAAATCAACGCCGTCACTCGAATATGACAAGACGAATGATATTTTTATTGTCGTAAATTGAAATACCGATAGTAAACTATTTACCGTTGTCGTAAATTAATATTATCGTGCTTCGTTGTTATAACAACGACCGGGATGGGGGTTTACATTTATATATCAACGCTTCGGTGAGAACATTTTCTCCAAGTGGTTGGAATTGTTTCAAGAAGGTTTTCATTCAGGGGATGAAAGTGGATTGGGGTGCAAGGGGAACAACGTTGAGTATTTAAACGATGGAAAATTGGAAAACAACGACACGATTTCGTGAAATAGAATGAGATTCGCATTAAATATCGTCCAACAAAATATCGTTCAAACTTACAATGAAAAATTCGTTAAAAATTACGAATAAATGCGAATCACGAAGGTCGAATAAACTCGAGTAAATAACTCGATATTATTTAAAAAAAAAAAAATAATAATAATAAAAAAATAAAAAAAACCTAGTCGTTATCACTTGAATAATAAGAACCAATAATCGATCAATTATTTGCTATCTTACGAAGTAAGATAGATCTATTTAAGAATATAAGAGTTGAGGCGGCAGAAAAATATCTCAAAGGAATAAAAATAAAAAATAAAAACAACCAACAACAACGTCGCTGTTTCAAATGAACTTTGTTATTATTAATTATCGTTCCAATAATGAAATACGATTTAATATGGCTGAAAGTGAATGAAGATAGAAAAACGTTGACGCGTTTAAAATGAATCATTTCTTTTTTTTGTTTTTTTTTTTTCGAATAAATAAAACGTACCAGGAAAAAACAACAAAACAAAAATCTAATCATCCAATCTCGCAATGAAGAAAAAAAAAAAATGTTCTATTACGCGTGTTATATCATTGACCAAAAAATATCCTTATTCGTCCGAATCGAGTAAGCACGCGATTCGCTTACGTAAAATCGAAGATCGTAGAACACGATTTAAACTCTATAAAATCAGTGTGTCGAAGTTTCAAGAAACAACGCCTGAAAAACAGAGTGAGAATAAGCCTTTTCGTTTTCTCTTTCTTCGCGCGATATTTATAGGCAACGTATTTGTATGTAAGCCTGTATGTATGTATGTATGTATGTATGTATGTATTATATGTATTTACATGCATATGATTCTTCGTTTCTCGAAAATCCTACAGCGAAATCCACGACGATATATCGAAAATGTTGAAAAATAGTTTTTCCTTCGCAAAGACTTCGAGAATCGATGATGATATGAAAGAAAGAGAGAGAGAGAGAGAGAGATAGGTATACATGTATATTTGCAAAATGGAAAAAAGGAATGTGAGATATTTAAGAAAAAAAGAAAAAAAATCGAGCCGAAAGGCAAACTATATTACCTTACGTACGAAGGCAAAAAATGATGAGAGCTTTCGTCGAGAGGGAAAAATATTTAAAAAAATAAACCATACGCGTTTTACAAGAAGTATCACTTTTCATTTTTGTCTGTTCATTAAAATCTTTTTTTTTATCTGTATTATCTTATAGTTTCAATTTCAGCGAAAGAATATCAATGAAAAACAAAATCTTCAATCATCTCTATGGATTTTATTCAGGTAAAGGATTGAGAAAAGAAAACTTTTCTGTTATTACAGGTATAAATTACATTTTCTGTAATAAAATATAAGATCGTGATATTAAAAAAAAAAAAAAAAAAATAAGTACAGTTATTTTTGAAATAGAGAAAAAAAGAAAAGAAATGTTATTCACTCGTAAGTTGTTTCTTAAATGCTAGAGTAAGTACTTACTTGTAGAAGAAAAATGATGATGATGATGACTAAAAGGTGTGTAAGTATGATGATAAAAAAAAAAGAAATTATGCAAAGAAATGGCAAGGGTATAAAAAAACAAATGTCCTTACTTTAATAAAACCAAAAAGTACCTGTACCGTCTTGAATTATGCACTTTCAAATATAACGACGCGAAGCGTAGCAATTAAGTCTAACATATGAGAAACGCGAATAAAATAGACAAGACACACACACCCATTGTACCTTCCATACTCGCGCATTTTCTCTCTTTCAGAGTGAAATGTAAATCACTGGGGCGTACGAAATCGTAGCAATTATGTTCGTGTAACGAGTTCTCCGGGAATGGACCGTGGACCTTGTTAAAATCGTGACGTTCGCACGAGCATAAAAGAGCATTGATGTAGAACGTTTGTTTCATACTCGAAATGGAATTTAAACGCTCGATAAGCACTCATTCGATCGATCAATCGAATTGACCGTAGAGAACGAAACGTCCCCTCCCTCACCTATCGAAAAAACCTTTGTTTTTTTTTTTATTATTATTATTTTTATTTTACTTTCTTTAGTATTAGAATTTTTTAACGATATATCATATGTTCTGCAATAATTGCATCCGAATATATCGATAAAACATTCGATTTGTAATAAAAAAAATCAGTAAATATCAGTCGTTGAAATACGAGGATAAATATGGAAATGTTTCGAATATATTCATTTCTAAAATTTCAGAAAAATAATATAGAAATTTAATAAAACTCAAGAAAAATTAATATTACGATTGAACCCAATAAAAAAAAAGAAATATCAAAGTTACGTAACATATTATTCCAGTAAAAGTATTTTTTGTGAATATGTAAAATAGGAATAATGAAGAAATTTAATGCGTACCTAAGTATGAAAAAGAAAGAGAAAAAAAAAATTCGAAATTATATAATACGGTTCAAAATGATTATTATTTAATCTTTCTCGGCTAGTGGCCACGTCTCGGTAGAATTCTCGTTACTCGGCTGAAAACGTGCACCGCAATGTCCGTAACTACGTTCGTGTTACGATTCACACCGTAGAGAAGTCTCTTGGTATGTGGAGATTGGAGTTGGTGAAATGTGTTCTCTTGCTGTGACCGAAAGTACGATATAGTGAGAAGGACAGAGACCGAAATATAAAGAGAAATAGAGATAGAGATGGAGAGAATACGAGAGAAGGGGAATAAGTCTACGGTAAGTGTAACACAACGCCAACGACAGATTGGACGTTGCTTCATCGATCCTCGTTGAGGTCCTCCAGGAACTCTATTTATCCCCCTAGCGTTATATCCTTGGTCGTACCTACAAACAAGGGATACTATTCCGGATAGTATTGTTGAGAATCACCGATGGATATTCAGCTGGCTCAAACGTTTCTCTTCCAAGCAACGTTAGCAACTTTTGGTATATTCTCTCTCGTTATAACTCGTCCTCACACTATTGTATTTTCACTTAGTTAGTATTTTACAAAATAATAATAATGATGATCTATTTGGTAAGAGTTACAAATTTTCATTTGATATTCTAATAATTCTAATCTGATCGTTAATTATATTATTTTATTTTTAAGGTGTATATTTTGAATAGATGTACGTAATAATTCGTGAAGGATTTTTTTTCTTTTTGTTTGACGCATTAATGTAATTTAAAATTCATATTATTTTTAATTTTTTTTTTTTTTTTTTGTTATTTAATGGTATACGTCGCATATAGTATCGAAAATGACAATCAACTTGACGATACAGTTAAAACAATTTTAAAATGAGAATTTTAAAACAGAAAAACGCTGCAAAAGCATTTCCACGTCAATTTGTTCCATTCTTGATAATAAAATTGTATTTAAAAGTGCAAGTACGCGAGTTTATGAGTTCATTTATATCGAATCGAGTTTAATTATTTTTACAAAATTGTGCAACGTTTTAACACAAGTCACAAATTGCCCAAAATAAATAAAAGAAATAAACAAGTTTGAGAAAAGTAAATTAACAGACTGATATGAATGATTATTCTTCGAACATGTGTAATTAATCAGTGATAAAAACTTCTTGATAATATATTTTCATACGTAACTTGTGTCTTATCATCTTTTTTATTTCTTCTTCCTTTTTTTTTTTTTTAGCTGTTTCCATGAAAGATAGATGAACGAAGTAAGTTCAGATCAAGCACGTAGCAGTTTTACGATAAGCCAGCTTCGTGGGGTGGTAATGGTCAGCTACATTAATGCATTTATGTCCTGTAGTACTCTATCTTAGATGATATATCTTAGCAAGATCTACTTAATACGATCATTAGAGCAGCGATTTGTCATTCTAGTCCAGTCTCAGTGGTAAACCTTTAGGAAACCGCGTGCCTAAGCATCGACGAAGTCTCCTTCCTCTTAAGAACATTTCAGCCTAGTCGATAATACTACTACTACCATACCACTCTTAGTTTCCTCTTCGTTTTCTCTTGGTCTTCTCTTGGTCCTCTTCAAGCTGCTTCGAACACTCACTCTCGTGTGGTAGGGCTAAGAGCCCTAAGGATTTAACGCTTAAACCTAAATCCTTTACGTAAGAGTACCAACAGTTTTTATATCTTATGTCAGATATTTCAAGATAAAACCGATAATACTAATATACTTTTAGAATGAAAACAAGAATATATATATATATATATATAAAAAGATAAATGATATTTTATTTTTTACTCTAATATTTAAAAATACTACATTTGAATTTATTTTAAATTAATTAATTTTAATTAATAATTATTTAATTTTTAATTAATACTCGAATTTATTTCAATTATTACGAAAATTATTTTATATTTATTTTTATATATTTTATATTATAAAATTATTACATGTTTAGCTTGCATCAGAAATATACATTAAAAATAAATTAATTTCAATTAATACTTATTAATTAATATATTATTATATTATATTTTATTATATTATTTTATATATTTATACTTATATTTTAAATTATAATATTTCATTGATAAATTTATCAAAAACACAATATATATATATATAAATATAATTATTACTTTTTTTCTTAGGAATTAAATTACCATTATAAAATAATGATAAAAATCTAGAAATAACGAATAAAAAGTTAGAAATTAAATGTGCAAGCATTGCGTTATTCATGAAACGTCACGGAAGATTATTAAACGCACGTGACCAATGAGAAAACCAAAGAAGAATTGTTTCTGTGTAAGGAAGTAGGAAACATGAGGTCGCGCATATCCACAACGTGAAAGGATGAAAAATGTGAACTGACATTTGTGCGATGAAAATCGTAGGATAGCTGTAAGTAACTAGATATCTAACAAGTTCCAAGCTTATCGCGTGCATGTCCATCTTTTTCGTTACTTGGCGAGCATCGTCCGATTACGTTACGATTCGATGATAACTATAATACAAATGGACACGAGAGAAAATGTCTTTTAAACATACATAGTCATACAATGGTAAAATTGATAAAAACAGATGCATTAATGAAGAATAATGATAAACGAAATCAATGATATATATATATATATATATATATGTGGCATACAAATGAACTAATTTAATTAATGAAAAGTTAATAACTATGACGTAATACGTAAACGCAATATTTTATTTCAACCATCATTTATTTCAGATTAATATTAACAT